GAGCTACAACACACAGCGACGACGAGTGTATGCGCGTGATTGTTTCTCCGAAGTCCACTTAAACCCATTGATCTCAGTGAGATTTTTTGAGAAAAATGAAAAAAAAAGTTTTGCAACACTTGTGAAACAGCGTTCCGAAGATCCCAGGAAAATTTCCTTTGCTGGACAATTACCCTCCTCGTCAAACTAGATCTCGATCAAGTTTACTTCCAATAAATGCCTAATTTTACTCGCACTGACCATCGTAGCTTTTGAAAAAAAAATATTAATTCAAATGAAAGGGCTAGAGAGCATTTGAATTCAACTATTGTATTCACTAAAACTGCCCCCATGTTTTCGCCCGATGACACCGTGATCCTCTATTCATGCATAGATTGGCAAAAAAGTGCCTAGATTTACATCACTAATGTGAATTCGGTACTTCACACTAAATACAACTGGTGGAAAATCTGGAAAATTCGAAGATGAAAAATCACAGAGAGGTTTCTTTGTGATGAGTAGTTTTCTGGATAAATGACGCAGTCAGTTGCAGTATGCTGTATCATCAATTCTAAAAAAGCCAGAATAGTATGCATGTTTCAAGAAGTTGTCAACAAACAAACAAAAAAACAGGATAAAAAAAAACTGACTGGATCAAAAGGGAAATTTCAGAACAAATGTTTCAGATTTCAATGATGGCCAAAATAATGCAATTAATGAGGCCAAAATAATTCTTGAGAAGGTGATAGGAAAAACCTTCAAAGTTACACTTGTAGCTTTAATCATCCAAAACATTTAGATAATGAATGCACATACATCCAAACATTCCACGTGAATACACATTCTGTCCATACATGTGTTGTACGGCCAGAAAAATGTTACCAGCAAACAAGGTTTTGAGAAAAGAAACATTTTGAGGGAAATGAGGACGTTTTTGTAGCAGAAGTTTTTCTTGGAACTTCGTGATCTGGTGTTTGTTGTTCTCGTTGTATTTGTACGCATCGCAATGCAGATGTGAGTGTCGAATTGATTACGCAAGGGTACATAACCTTGTTAAAACATGGAGAGTGAGTCCTCATAATTGCACAAATAAGTTGAATTGCAAAGTTGAATGAAGGGGAGAGAGGAGGATAAAATGGAGCTCAGTGGCGTCTTTGTGCTTCCTTGAAAATGTTGCGCGAAACGAAATAAAGAAGCAAGATTGATCTTAGTCAAATTTGTCTGTTTGCTTCCAAAAGTAGAGTTACCATAGAAAAGCATTTCCATACTTCGCGAACTCGGACATTCCAGATAAAAAAAAGTATACCTCACTGCCCTTCAGCGATCCAACGCGAAACCATGAAAAAAAATGACGAACACTTCGAAAATTTAAGGAAAACGATTTCCCGCAATTTTAAGTGATACATTACACACAGTTAACAAAAATTACACGACAGCAGATAAGGTCGCACTTTTCGTGATGTTTCACTCAAATTTTGACGGTAATATGCCCAACAATTTGAAGAAGTTATCAATACCGCAGACTGAATTAAATAAAAATTGCAGTTTAAAATGAAATACCTCGGAGGTGCTGCCGTAGCAAAACTCATGCTTACGGAGGAGAAAACCAGGAACACAAAACTTAAAATGAAATTAATAAGCTATCATTACTGACAGTGACATCTACCCATGCTAAAGCGAGTTCGCGCTTCATCTCCATATTGGATAAATATTTCCAAACATAGCAAAAAGAACAATGTATTAGGACTCTCGCAGAACGGCATCATCTCGAATATCAGTAAAGTTCTTCTCAAATTCGGCAAACGTCACTCAATTTGGCTCAGGATCCTCTCGTCATCATTACAGTGGACTCCCAAAACTTTCCCACCAGATTTCTCGCATTTCGATGTAATTTTTTCCTCGCAAGGAAAAAAATTATTCGCAACAGCACTACACAACTTTCCCTAGCATAATTTGTGAACAAGAAATGGACGAAAACCGGGCTACAAAACTTTTTGAAAACTCACCAGGGAAGTAATCAAACATCAGAGGCTTGTAAATCCTCGCCTCCTACTACATGGGCATAAATCCTATCTGCGAGATCCCGTACTCGGTCCCTCGCTTCACAGTGCTTCAATAAAACCTCGGGGATATCTTCCACACCGACATGAGCCCCAGCGATAGCAGCGGCCATGGTGGCGATTGTGTCCGTGTCACCGCCCAGGGCGATCGCTAGCTGTATTGACCTTTCGATCACGGAATCTCCCTGATAAAATAAAATAATATAACGTATTGTGAAAGCCCTCCACATTTTTTCAACTCTTCAGCCATGAGATATGTACCTGACAACACTCCAGAGTTTTGTCTTGAGCCATCAGGTAGCAAAATATTGCTGTGGGTACAGATTCTAACGCTGAAATATTATTCCCCAGATCTCGTATGACGATGTCGAAATCGATCTTGCTTCGATCTTTTGCCTGCTTTGCTAAGGCTTCAAGGCGTTTCATTTTCGCAGAAAAAACTGCCGCTCCACCGCTTTCCCGTAAACTAATAATAAAAGAAAACAAATTTGCATGAACATGCGATACGAGTGCAATACTATAGTTTAGAAGCTAACTTACAGTGCTCCACGCCGGAGATGAGAATCAAGCAAATGGATTAATGTTGTGTTATGATACTGTATCAAAGATTGAGCAGACTTCATGGCTAAGTAGGCATGTAAAGTAAAGTATTAAGCGCCGAAAAAATAGAGCAATCAAAAATAATTCACTCGAAGGTCTCTACCATATAAAGTGATTTTGATACGACTTCCGCGCATTGAGAAGATTGAGAGACCCTGTTGTACAGGGATACTTAATAAAACGAAGGATTTCGAAAGCACTACCAAAAAATGTCACATACACGCGGTGGACACTCTCAACAAACTTGTCTACAACGATTTTCTCTGTATAACGATTCTTGTACGGTCCCATAGGCATAGGGTGCTCTCCCCATTTCACAGGGATTCTCTAAAGTGAAATACTCTCTACCAAGAAATTTTCCTAGCTTCTTGAGTTTTTTTGCAGAGAGTCCACCTGCATTTGACAAAGACAGCCATAGGCTTTGACACAAGACTGTCATACCTTTCTTCACTTTCCGCTTCAACATTTCGAATCTTATCACCGATGGCTTTACAAAATTCTTCGATATTCACGACTTCGCCAGGATCGGCAAGGAATGCTTGTGACACAGCGAGACATTGCAGCAGAGCTCCGTGATATCCGGTCGAGTTCGCATGCGTTATTCTACCTTGATCTATCGCAACTTGCATGAGTTTGTCTTTGTCAGTGTCGCATCTGCTGAAAAACAAAGCTACCGGAAACGCTCGCATCGCTGCACCGTTTCCGTAGGAACCAGACCCATTGAACTGGAGGGCCGCGGGTTCGAAAGGGTTTTCTGATCGAGTTCGCCGCAGTTTATAAAATACGTTGACCACAGATCCTCCATAGCCTCGTCTGGGGCTTTTGAAGTATTCATCCGTGAACCTAATACAAGTGAACAGTCAACATTAAAAAATCTTCTCATGTCACAATCCTTCCCTCAGGAAAAAGTAAAGAGTTCAAATTTTAATTTTACTGACTGAACGGGAAATGAACTCAGATCAAGTGAGAGCCAATTTTCGAATTTGTTAACTTCATTTCGTTCTTCAGTTGTCTACGATTTTATGGAACAATGTGTACATCCCATCTCCAAAATGACTATGTTTAGGACTAAGATTCCTCCGAAGTATAGCCCACTCCACGCTTCAAAAGACACAAAAACAAGCCTGGGTTCATTCGCCAGGAATTCATTAGGCACTAAATTCGCAAATTTCGTTCATCAATCAAAGTTCAGGACAACCTTCACATTCAGTTTCACAAACACAAAAATTACCGAGTCCTGAAAATGTTTCATCTTAAAAAAACGTTCAGATTTGAGAGAGACAATACCATTAGGAACATTTGTACATGTGTACAAAATCTTCGATGAGCTCGGAATTCCAAAAAATGTACGAGTAGGACTGGAAACCTTGAAAAATGTTTCTCTCACCTAATCGCCATATCACGAGCATCAAAGCCCTTTCTCTCGACTAGACTTTCTGCTACAGCCATTGCCATAGCAGTGTCATCCGTGTATCGTTTGTACGGTACTAGCCAAGAAAAAGAAAGTTATTGCGGAAAATATGAACATGTAAAAAAGGAAGCTCACATTTCTTGGCAACATCCTCCTTCCGAAGACCTTCGAAATAATTCTTGTATAAAGATGCCGTTAGTGGACCAGCATCACCTTCAAAAGGGGCAGCTAGACAGTCTCCCATCAATGCGCCAAGCATGGATCCCTGAATTTTGCTCCGCACATATCTCATTTTCACAAATTTGAACTACTGAAAATTGTATACCGTTTTCCACACTAATTTAAAACAAATCCTGCGAATATGAGAGTGCAAAAATCAATGCCCTAACAGACCAGCTTCACAAACAGAGTCTATGCCATCCAAATTGATCAGATTATTTCGCGTAGAATATCAATAAAAAGCCGAATACCCGTCAAAATCCATTTGTTACGAAATAATAGAATGTTGTAAACCTAATCCAATGCCCTTTTCAAATTGCGAATGCTCCAAACATTGATCAACAGAAGAGCATTCACCGCATAAATTGCGTAACAAACAACACACACGTTGTTCAATACGAAGACGAGAATGCACCACAAATACACCGACATCATGTTCGATATCAAAACAAAGAATTTCAGGATGCTGAATCTCCTTCCTACTGGATTCATCCCTGTTTAAAAACGAAAAATTGATCAGGCTTTATTCGGGCTACCTCAAATTTTCCAGAAATAACTTGCCAATAACGAAGAGCAGGCTGTACGAAATGATGCCGTACAAGGAGTTGTATTGATTTAAAGAAGAGTCTTCCCCCAACAATGGACCGACTATGCCGAAGCCTTTGCCAAATCTAGGGAAGAAATCCCGTTTTGAATAACGTGGATCTTCTCAAAATATTTTGTTGCAAATTAGGAACTTACTTTGAGTCAAACGCTTTTGAGCAGCTGATGTACTCGTGTAAATCACATAATGGAGCATAATCGGGATCCGCTTCTTTCCGCAACTCTGTGTATAATCCGTAGCTAGAAACTAATGCACCCGCAAAACACAACAGCGAGTTGAGCCGCGCAGTTCCGAACCAACGCTTTCCTTTCATCTTCAAAAATCTTATCAAACAAAAATTTTTTATTCCGACTCCTTCAAAATTCGTGGGAAATCGGCCTGAACTGAAGCTTACTGCCGAACATCGTCCATAAATTCATTTCAACACTTCAAGTAACCACCAGTTCAACATGTCCACAGCTGAAAAATCACCACAATCTGAAGAGGAAACACCTGAATCTTCCGGATCTCCGCTAAACAAAGCAGTCAACATTTTTTCGGAACAACTTAGCAGAGCTTTTGTGCATACCTTCAAGTCTGTGCAACCTAACACACTTTTCTCGAGCTTCATCACAAGTTATGGCCAACTCTTCCATGCCGTCACGGGTCTCTTCAACAGGGAATTCTGGATACATGTCGTCTCCAGGAAGCAATCCGATTTCGCCGTCTTTTGTTTTGACTCGCACCACGAGCCAGCGAATACTTGCCTCACGGAGCAGTTCACTTCGTCGCATCACGTTCTTCTGGAATTCCTCCCATGTTCTAGACGAATTCATTATATCCCTCAACGTTAAAATTTCGTAAAACTGGGGCGGAGGAAGGAGAATTTTCTTGGATTTTCCTAGACTCAAGGCTTCATTAAGACCCAGCCAGGCACACGAAGATATTTCTGATGCGTCCAACGAGGGAGCTGGACGAGGATCATCCATGAATTTGACATACATCATAGTGTCGAATCGGCGCTTGATGTCCGATGGTGTCAGCCAATTTGTCCATTGATGCAACGACCGCAGTAACGTTGGCATACTCTCTTTCGGTAATAAATTCGAGAATTCACCAGGATCGTTCTTGACTTTGAATTGCAAATCACGGATTTCTTCGACACGTCTTTCGTGTTCGTCGGAGAAAATTAGACCGGTTTCTTCAAAGGTCTCGCGTAAAGCTGCTACTCTGAATCCTGCATCGGCATTTTCTCTACCTGCACACGCCGGGAAACGTGATGACAGAGTTTGAACATGATCATGACGGAAATCTTCATCGGATATTACTCCTCCAGGAAAAACGTGTGTGTTCGCCATAAACCTGCTTTCCGCGTGCCTCTGTACCATTAATACGTGGCATTTATCCCCATAGGCATTTTGTGTCGTACTGGGAGCGCATAATATCAAGCTTGCGGAGTCTCGCCAAAACTTTTTGGTTGAGAATCGTCTTGAAAAGAGAAAACATTGTCATGCACACTTCTGCATCAACTTTGAGAAAAGAGCTCACCTTATCAACATCGCAACAAAGAGAAAAAATGCAGTGCACTTTCCACGCTCGCATTAATGATCACAACGAGCACACATTCTAAGCGAAGAAAATTCTTTTAGATCAACCTATTTCCGAAAAAAATAAATAAATTAGAACATAAACATATTTATTAGATGCACTCCTGACCACAGTATTCCGGGAGTTTCTTCCGAAGCCATCGAGAAGATGTCAAAAATCAAAGCATGAAAAAAATAAACGCGACGTCACCAAGATCGTAATCAAATTGACAACACGATTTCAAATCTTCTACGTTCACTAGATAAATAAATGGAAATCGAGAACGGCAATGGATCCTTCGAAAGAAAAAAAAAAACGAACCTTCCCTCCTTCTTGAAGCAGAATTTCTCGCATAATTTTATTTAATTCAACTTCGGCAGAAGATTCATCACATGAGTTGCAGCGGCAAAATAGGCCATGCAGCGGCAAATAGACCCACGCAGTCGCAGAAGCCTTGCATTAACTCCGAAAAATGTCGTCCACTTCGCCAACGGCAAAAACTGAGAAATGCAGCCATCAGACCAAATTCTATTTATGGTATGTACATGAAGAGCACTTTACTCACGTAGCGCCTCGACGAGTGGAAAAGCCCAGTCCTGGCACAACTACACTAATCCTCAGACTTGATAGCTTTGAAAGAGATAATCAAACATTGCCTTTGGATTCAAAAATGAGCCAACCACTTCATTGATTCAGCGAAACAGTTGCATTAGCCGTGCATTTGGAATCACACCCTGAATTAAAATTGAAACCGT